ACACCCCTCTTACACTCCTACGCTCACTTTCCCATCTAATGCTCGCTAAAGAGGGGGAGGTTATCGAACTCACGCTTGTTTCACACCACAAAAGTATGCGGTCTAATATCCCTCAAACCAACACCTTTTGACCACAAGACCGTAGACAGATGTCACCTACAACCCTAATTGAATCAACAAAACGCCCACGCATAACAAAACAACTTCCCTTCCTCCTCCTCCTCCGCCTAAATATAATTTTACAAATTCATACGCATGACAAAACACCCCTTGTAAAACGAATAGTTTTCTAAAACTGTACTACTATCCACATTTTTCCTTAACACATACATTTTTGAAAACTTAGAAGGTAACCGTTTTCTCTTTCTATAAGCGCGTGAGAAAAAATTTTCAAATTTGATTAAAGAAAAACGTATTTGACTAAATAAACGATCTCATTTGTTTTTGTTTTGTTAGGAACCACCACCACAATCACCATTTTTACCACAAGACCGTAGACAGGTTACACTAACAGATGTCAACTAAACCCTAATTGAATCTAACCTATTAAAACTATCCCTAATTGAATCAACAAAACGCCTACGCATAACAAAACATCGTTTTTGTTAGGAACCACCAACAACAACACCCCTCTTACACTCCTACGCTCACTTTCCCATCTAATGCTCGCTAAAGAGGAGAAGGTTACCGAACTCACGCTTGTTTCACACCACAAAAGTATGCGGTCTAATATCCCTCAAACCAACACCACAAATGTATGCGGTCTAATATCCCTCAAACCAACACCTTTTGACTACAAGACCGTAGACAGGTGTCACTACAACCCTAATTGAATCAACAAAACGCCCACGCATAACGGGTTCTAACGCAAGTTAGAAGTAACATAGTGACCTGTGTGCAACCATTGCACTCCACAAAATCCTACGCATGACAAGACACCTCCTATCACACACGCAAGCCAGGTGTCACCTACAACCCTAGTTGACTCAACAAAACGCCCACGCATAACGCCTTCTAACCCAAGTTAGAAGCAACATAGTGACCTGTGTGCAACCATTGCACTCCACAAAATCCCACGCATGACAAAACACCCCTATCACACACGCACCTTTAGCGTGAGAAAAAGACAAGACAAAACAAGACATATCAAAACACCACTCTCTCACACTCCTACACACCACTTTCTAACCTCATTAAGTGACCTGTGTGCAACCATGCTCATCTAACTAGGGTCAGCCACACCCCCCTTTTTGACTTAATTATGCTAATTAGGTCATTAGAACACCTGTGTGCAACCATGCGTGACTAATTAGGGTCAGCAACACCCCCCTTTTTGACTTAATTATGCTAATTAGGTCATTAGAACACCTGTGTGCATCCATGCGTGACTAATTAGGGTCACCCCCACCTCCTTTTTTGACATGATTTATTACCTAGTGAGCCAGCTCCCGTATTACCTATCTACTGACGTGCAAACCAACATCTATTTCCCTACCACCATTGTTTCAGCCAAAGGAGATCTCGAAAGTCATCGGAAAACTGAAACCGAAAAAGTCCCCGGGCGGTGACATAACAACCCCAAAAATGATAATTAAACTTCCAAACTCTGCTATTATGGTTATTTGTAATGAAACGCTTGTTTAAGATAATAGATAGTTTAGCAGCTACATCTGTGGGTCGGTTTAAACCCAGCAGTGGCGCCACCTTTGGCAGGCCTAAAAAGGGGTTATAGGTAGCTAGTGGGTCTAGGAGAGTAACAGCGGCAAATGTCAAGCGCCCCTAGAACTTCACCTTGCCCCACGACCGAGGTTACCGGTGGGTCGGCAGCGGCGGCTGCTGTCTTTCCATTTTCGGCAGCGGCAGAGTACGGACGTAGATAACCTCAGTTTAGTTCGCGATCTTTTTAATTTGCGGTTGGATCGTGCCAAGACTGGTGAGTCTATGAAAGAAAAGGGAATGTTTAGGCAGTTTAGTTTAGCCGGAAATTATTGTAGGCGGTCGGCTCGAAGCAATTCTGGAAGTCCCCGAAAAGGCGCTGGAGAAGGAAATAATAAGCGGATGTGGATTTTGGTGCCAAACGCAAGCCTGGAAAATCGGTGGCCAAGCTGGAAAACCGGCGGCCAAGCTGAGAAATCGGCGGCCAAGCTGAAAAATCGGCGGCGACATCGTTGGGAAACATAATTAACATTACATATGAAATTTCACCGTAACCTGACCAAACTTTAACCAGCTAGCTGTGACCCCATAACCCGCGGAGGTACAGGCCGCGCATAAAAAAAAGAGAGGAGAATTCTAGTTTAGATATTCGCAGCTTTAAAAGTTACAAATAAAACAATAAAGTTACAATAGAACTTAAGTTAAGCCATAAGAGACGCTGCTATCGGTTTTGAGGGCAAAGAGAGGCGGAGCTACGAATGCGCGGGAGCCTTCAGTCTTCCGCACAAATTAAACTACGCAAGTCGCCTTCGTTGCGCTCCGCCGCGAAAACGAGAACTCAGCAGACATAATTAATTTACGCAAAAGTAAACGCTTTTTGCACCAGCCGAACGCGCCAAGGGAGGCCTAAAGCCACCTCCCGCGAGTTTGTTGGCGACGGGAACACGGTTTAAGTAAATTAAGTCTTAGAGTAGTTTTTTTGATTGTGCTTGTCAATATGTGGGCGTATATTCATATATTCATTACATAAAAAAAAGGGAGTAAGAACGAATTGAAATAAATCGAAGGGTGAGATGTAAGAAGGAGAGAATAGAAGGGACGGCCGAGAGAGCAAGCAACCAGGAGAACATGAACTAAAAAGCTGGATCGCGTGGATCCCAAGCTCTTTATTTGCTTTGAGTTTCATTTTATTTGCCAGTCGACGAATTTGTCTGACAATTTTCATTAAAATTTAAATTTGCAATGTTCGACGTAAATTAGGCAAAGTCCACCAAGCAAGACTGTAAAATCTCTCACTAGATTTTTTCGTCTAAATATCTTTAATATTGGAATTTTGAATATTCGTCTACTTATATGGAATTTTATATTGTTCACCGTAGGTTAAGTTATGTTTGTATTTCAAAATGAGTAAAAAGTTTATAATGTGCTGAAAGTATTTTGTGTTGGCCGCGGCTGACGTTGACTTGTGATGTAGGATAGCCCTTAGAAAAAGGGGTCGCTCAGGCTGTTAAGCGCTGAGGGTAAGTGCGACCATTGGTAGATTTCGAGGTGACATCTGGCCTAGAATTTTTCTATAAGTGTAGCGGTTCGTTACGGTAAGCTCTTCAATGGGATCATAAGTCTTTTATATCTATCATAATGATACCAAAGCACGGAAAATACCACACAATTCCGTCATCCTTACAGACCAATAAGTTTATTATCGTGTCTGTATAAGTTGTTCGAAAAATGCCTTCTAACTCGCATAGTACCAAATCTAGGAGCACACAATGTTACCCCTGCTCATCAATTTGGCTTCCGTCAAAGCCATGGAACAATCAAACAAGTTAACAGAATAACATCAGAAATTCGCACAGTCTTTGAGCTTCGGGAATACTGCAGCGCATTGTTCCTCGATGTATCCGAAGCCTTCGATCGAGTATGAATCGATGTCCTTATGCACAAAATCAAAACACACTTGCATGATTACACTCACAAGCTACTTAAATCGTATCTCTACAACAGAGTCTTCGCAGTAAGGTGCAAAACAACATTTCTTCACCGTGGATATCCATACGAAGGAGCAGCTAACAACATCATGTTCGAGGTCTCCAGGCAACAACCCAGCTAGCCAATCACCTCCTCGTAGCATCCAAATCGTCTCGAATGAGGCTCGACATAGGTTTCCAGCAGATCCCGCCTACAACGCAACGACCTCCCAACCCAGCAATAACTAACAATATTAGTCATATGACTGTTACTTACGTTAATAGTATACGATTTGACACACTTATTGTTAGTATCCAAAAGGAGAAGATTCAATAATTAAATAGCAAAACAAAAATTTGTTATTACAGAATTTGTTGTAGATCTATACCTCGTCTCATCAAACATATCATGATCTGCCGAAAGGCCGCATGCAGGGAGCGCCCGCATTGGCAAGCGGTCTTTGCGTTTTATACCCCCCGCTCTCCACCCTTCGAAGTTTTATGGGAAGCCGCCGTAAAAATGGCTAATGGATCGCTCGTTGGGATCATCTATCTTTGGTTTTGATAAGCTACGCACCCTGGTTTGCCAGATCCAGGCGATAATTAATTCCCGTCCTCTTCCACCACTTTCAGATAATCCTGACGACCTTGACGTGATTACTCCAGGACACTTTCTCGTTGGGAGACCTCTCGAGAGTGGTTAGAGTTGCGGTTCTACGTACTTCGTCCGGCACAACAAAAATAGCGGTTACCAAGATTTGCGTCCTGCCAACGGGCAGGACTCAACGGAGTCCAGTGTTGAATACCCAGATCTTTCAACAGGGGGAGGATGTTCTGAGCTGCAGCTGATACAACTCTCTGTAAATAGCGCATCAATCCGCTCTTTCTACCACTCATCCGAAAGCTCCAGTTAAGTCTCTCTCTCTCTCTCCTACTGACTGTCGTAAGTTCTCTCGCAGAGCAGTTGCAACTCGAACGCAGAAGCTGCTAACGCGCGATAAAGGAAATTCTACGGATCATCAGAAAAACTATTGTTAAATCTAACGAAAATAAAGAGTATATTTAAACTACTACCTAGAATGTGTTAGTTTATTAATTGATTGTTGTCAAAAAAGCTCGGCAGCTTATAACACAAATCGTTAAATAAAAATATATGTATAATAATAAATAATAATAAACATATTAATTTTTTAAGAAATGCAAGTATTTTAAAACCCACGCAAATTATTGTATTTACATTAAGGGAAAATATCGCACTATTCTAAAGGCAAGGGTGCACAAAAGTCTAACTATCTTAATTGTTGGGCCTTTACCCACATATTTCCAGCGGAGACATGGCGACAAGGAGAGGAAAAAAGTACTTTTTGTGCGCTCTGACTGAGAGCGAGTCTGCTTTGCCGCCGTTGCGCTCAGCTCTGGCTGCTATGCCGGCGTCGCTGGTTGCTCAGCCGACGTCGCAGTCGACTTCGTGATGATTGGGCGCTTGTGCTCAATTGTGGAACTGCATGCAAGTTTATTTTGAAGTTGGTTAGATGAGTAACGGGTATCTGATAGTTGATGCACTCGACTTTAGCGTTTCCTACTTTTTTGTTTCTATAACAACAACAAATATAAATATCTAAGTGTTTTTTACATTTTATTTTAACCGAAATTAAAGACCCTTTCTATATTTTTCGCCCACAGTAAAATCAGTCATTCCTTTTCCTGCAGTCCCACACGTACCGACTCCTACTCTGCCGCTTACGTTATCTGGAGAGGCGAATATACTTTTTGCCTTTATACCGTTTTTTTTTTGATTTTTAGTGGTGAAGTTTAGCCATTTATTTTTGTCGGATTCACGTTCCTCTTCCAAGTCCTTGAATCGCTGTTGTTTTTTTTGCTTCCGTTTTTTTAAGTATTCTTTTTGATTGGGCCTATGACGCCTGTAAAAAATGAGTTACAAACATACTTTTGATAGCTGATATAATGTAATACTTGTTGGAAGGAAAAACTTCGTTGCGAGTAGTGCGTTCTCGCAGCTCGTTCACATTTGTCGTAGATCTATTTTGATAGGCATCAAATATTACATTGACTTCGCCTTTGCTTGATATATCTTCAATAGTTGCGTCGTAGTACTGACGATCTTCTTTCCATTTAGCTTGACACTTGTCCCCAATCTTCCAAATCTTAGCAGCTGAGACTAATTTTTCTGCTTCTAAAAGTGCAGCTTCAATTTCGTCGAAATAATTAGAGGACGCTGTTTTACTTGAAGACGGCTCCACATATGAGGATTTATGTTGTTCTTCTAGTTGAGTTTGTATTAGATCGCGAGTAAGAGTAATGACTTCGCCAAGATCACTTCTGAGTTTTAAAAGTTCGTCATTTTCTGGGTCAGTTTGAAGAGCTGCTTCAACCTAAAAATTAGAACATTTTTAAATGAAACTTATTTTTATTTTACATTTTTATAATAATAATTGGTACCATATGTAGGTATTTTTCCACACAAAGAAATATACTCCCCTCACCATACGGTAAGAATTTTGGACGAAATATTGAATTCTAAAAAAATCATCTTGATGTTGAGCCCTTTATATGTTATATTATCTTGGGATAAAGTTACGTAAAAATAAAAATATATTCTTATCATCGTATAGTAAAGAATACAATATTCAAAAGAATATTGAGGTATCAATTTGATGTTTTTGCTTATTAGACATCACTCAATAGTGTTGAGTCAATACCCAGCGGGAAAATAACTATAGGATAATGTCACGCTTTTCCCCTAACAATCCCTAAGCTGGATGGACAAAAAACCCATTGCATCCTTATCCCTTCTGCTTGCGAAATCGCAAAGTTGACACAAAAAATCAGGGTATGTAAGGATGTTTTCTGGCTGCTCGAAGCAGGCCTTGCAGTTACAGATTTTCCACACCTACTGCGAACATTTTTTTCTCTTCCCTGCAGTGGCTGCTGTTACTCTTCCTCGCATTATCTGCTTTTACACTCCCTGGCATTATCTTCTTTTTATACCCGTTACTCGTAGAGTAAAAGGGTATGCTAGATTGGTCGGAAAGTATGTAACAGGCAGAAGGAAGCGTTTCCGACCTCGTAAAGTATACATATTCTTGATCAGGATCACTAGCCAAGTCGGTCTAGCCATGTCCGTCTGTCCGTATGAACGCTGAGATCTCGGAAACTATAAGAGCTAGACCATTGGAATATGGCATGCAGATTCCTGAGCTTCTTGCGCAGCGCAAATTTGTTTCAGCAGGGTGCCACGAGCACTCTAACGCCCACAATCCGCCCAAAACTGTGGCTCCTACATTTTTGATGCTAGAATTAAAATTTTAACTGAAATGTATTGTTCTCATCAATACCTATCGATTGACCCAAAAAAGTTAGCCACGCCCACTTTAACGCCTACAAACCGCCCACAAACTTCAAAAAATCGCAAGTATGAACGCGGATATCTCGGAAACTATCAACGCCCACAAACCGCCTAATCTTTGTATGGCGATGATGCTCCATCCTATACCACTGTGAAAAGCTGGTTTAATGAACTCAATCGTGGTAAACGCTCGCTCGAAGGCGAAGGACTTCGAGTCATCCTTGGGCATTACATCATCATACCATCATACATTCGCTATTGCATGAGCACATGTCAATTGGATTGGTGGCTCATTGACTCAAGTGGATTGGTGCAAAGAAATCGAAACAGCATTCGACCGTGTGGGTCTCGAAGACGATCCAAATCCAACAAAAGTTGTTCGTAGAAGAAGCACTTCAAAGCAAAAGTTTGCTAGTTTCTTCCGCTTGAGGAGGTCAATTTTGAGTGGTACACCACAATTTGAATGACTGAAGTCTTCGGAAATATTCGAAAAACGAACAAGAGAAGACGGATCATTGTGCACCATGACAATTCGAGCTCTCAGACATCTGCTCAGACCAGCGCCCTTTTGACCGGGAAAACATCAAATTGATCGGTCATCCGCCGTATTTCCCTGAGGCTGGCTTAATCGCTGAAATAAAGGAAATCCGAGGAAAGAAGGTACAAACAAGACGGGAGTACTTTAGGGTTGTTGCGCGACGTGTGTGTTCTTCTTGTGACACTTTAAAATAGGATCTGCTTAAGCCTAACTTAACTAATGCGCTCTTGAGCGGAGCGGAGAGTTGGGGAGAGTTGGCGTGGGAGAGCGGAGGGCAGTGGGAGCGAGCGCAATGAAGCGTCCTTTCGGCGTGAACAATACTCATAATTTAACTTACTTCATGTACATTTTGGCATCAATGGAAATGTTTTTTAAATTCCGTTTGAATTGTACAAGACTTATCTTAAACCATATAGAACTTATTGAAATCGATGAATTTTTGTGAAGTCTACATTTTGAACATTTTTTTAGGCTTCAATAAAATGTGTTTGATGCAAAAAATATATCCAAACAAAACTAATAGTTACTCCAACATCAAAAATAACAATCGAAAAGTGAACGAAAAATTATTGTGTTTTGCGAAATACAGCAATCTATACACAAATAGGAACTTTTTTAAAATACTAGCAAGGTCGTCCGCAGCTTCGCCTGCGGAAATCAGAATTGAAAATGTCGCGAATAGATCGGCTATATCTTGTCTGTGCCACGTAAATCATTCCTCATCTTTGCTCTGCTGATCTAAGTTGACTTGACTTTAACGCTTTTGTCTGCCGCATCCACGGTAATCACTCTGCTGTTCCACAGCCTAATAACGCACTTTTAATTCCTGAAATAAAGCCTTTGGTTAGGCAGAAGAGCTCTTTATGATGCTAAGTCGGACTTTTTCCCCCGTAAACTTAGTGCTATCGATCCGGATGCTGATCGAGGCTTCGAGCTCTGGAAATGCACTTACGGGCTTAAGCGACAGCCTCTAAGAAGTTTTTCAAAATAAAGAAGATGAATTAGGTAAGGAACTTGCTGATTGTGGGAGATAGATTTAAGCCTTTTGAATTGGCCACAGATGAAGAGACTGGTCCTGCTTCTGAAATTATACTTATTGATACAGAAGAAGTTAAAGACTAAATTAAGCAGACATGCTAGAGTTCCTCAAGGAAGAGTGCTCTACCCTGTCCTATATACCATATTCACCTCGGATCTTCCCTCGACCAGAAGCAGGCATGTTCTAACATCTACTAATGCAGATGACACTGCATTTCTGGCGACAAGTGATCTGCAAATAGGGGCGATAGATTTGGTGCCAGACATGTTCAATAAGTTTGAGGACTGGCGGCGAGGTGGAATATCGGTGTTAGTCCTGCAAAATCTCAGCATGCCAACCATTGTGAGGTTGCCCAAATGTTGCAGAAACCAATAAAGAAAAACTGCGAACTAAACCAGAAAGGAAGTTAACTTTGGCAAGCCGAAGTTTGTATACCCTTGCAGTTATAATTATTAAATTGAAAAATACAAAAAATTATATTCCAAATAGTATAAGATAATATGTCAAAAAACACCGAAGCTATAATTTGTTTCATATTATTTTCCCACCAATTTTCCGATCGTTCCTAAGGCAGCTATATGATATAGTCGTCCGATTTTGATAAAATTAAGTTCGAAATTCAGAACTAATTAAAAAATGCTATTTCCAAGCGTAGGGGGTTATATGTTAAAAAACACCGAAGCTATAATTTATTTCATATTATTTTCCCACCAATTTTCCGATCGTTCCTATGGCAGCTATATGATATAGTCGTCCGATTTTGATAAAATTAAATTCGAAATTCAAAACTAATTTAAAAATGTTATTTCCAAGCTTAGGAGGTTATATGCTAAAAAAACACCAAAGATATAATTTTTTTAAATTTGTTTTTCCTATTATTCCTATGGGAGCTATAAGATATAGTTGTCCGATCCGGCTGGTTCCGACTTATGTACTACCTGCAAAAGATATAAGACTTTTGGGAAAGTTTCAGCCCGATAGCTTTAAAACTGAGAGACTAGTTTGCGTAGAACCGGACGGACAGACGGACAGTCGGACAGACGGACATGGCTAGATCGACTTGTCTAGTCATGCTGATCAAGAATATATATACTTTATGGGGTCGGAAACGTCTCCTTCACTGCGTTGCAAACTTCTGACTGAAATCAATATACCCTCTGCAAGGGTATAAAAATAATTTGTTTCAGGAAGTCAAGAACAGGGCGGAGAGCTCGAAAGGGGATATGTAAGTATTAAAATCGACATCTGGCTCATTTTCCTCTTTCATATGATTAAAAATTCCTTTCGGCAGGCTTAAGGCTTCGATATGTTAATTATGCAGTATACTTACAGTGTCAAACTTAAGTGTTGGCACACTTTGCATCTTAAACTTCAAGTACGCTTTTTTTAACAAGATTATTTTGAACTAAGCGAATATTTAACAATCAAATTAATTTTGTTTCATTTAATTATCTGGGTATTCCCTAAACTGTTGAAATGCTGAATTGTTGAATTTTGATCAGCTGTTAGTCAGCTGTTCCATACAAAGTCAACTGTCAGAAATTTCAGCAAATCAACAGCCTCGGGGCTGTTGAAAATTTTGTTTAATTGCTGAAAACCAGAGTTGTCGCTGTTCTCGACTAAAAGTTAGAGGGTAACTCTGGTCACTTGTAAACATGGAGGAATTGCAATCGTATAAAATATGCAAATAAAGGATATCTGATAGGATGCTGCCTGTTAGCAGTTCTAATAGTTTTATTTTTTTTGCTTATTCTCGGCGTTTTCCTTAATTTTAAACATAATCTTTGGTAAACACAGCCTGGCAATTTGACAATCTGACAAACAGCAGACATCTTAAAACTTTTAGGGACGTTCCCTTAGTTGCCGAAAATTTATGTTGAATTTTCAACAATTCAACAGTTTAGAGAATACCCTGTATATCGTAACACAAAATTTTTAAAATTAAAATACCAAAAAATATGCAGGTTTCGCCGAACAAAAATTTTGTCACACTTGTGTTTTTAATAACTACATATTTCGTTAAAACTTAACCGATTTGGTTGACAAAGCCACATTGTCTTTATATCTTAGTATCATAAAATCGTTTTAGTTCCCTAAATTACACTAAAAAAATTATATATAAAAAGAAAAAATAAATACCCTTATCTCTGCGAAAAACAATATTATATTTTCAGGATCAGGGTCAGTTGTGAATGGGTGCCCTTTTTTTTATCGTTGGGAGCCCTTAATGGCGTTCTAAGGCACTCTAAACATGCAAAAATGCAAGGCCCTTAGGACGAGATTTCTAACGTGGCTTGAGTTGCCAGGGAGGCGAAAGGACCACATAAAAGAATAATGACAACCTTCAGATGTACTCAGCACTGATCTAAGTTTAGGATAAGAAGTCTTTGGCAACGATATTTGCCCAGCAGCCTTCCAAAAGGTCATGACAAGTGCTATGTACAAATTTTTTGCAGCTAGAATAAACCAACGATAATAAAGGTTAAGAATATAAGCATTTATGAATCGAAAAACGGTATCTATGTAGCACCTGACATGACCTTTCGAAAGGGTACTGCGAAAGACTACGATTATACCCTTTCCAAAGACCTTATTGTTCCAATCTTAGACCAGGCTGAGTAGATCTGAGGGTTGCTATTATCCTTTAAAGTGATCCTTTCGCCTACCTGGCCACTCAAAGCTTTGTATCGTCCTATGGGCTTTGCATTTTTGCACGGTTAGAAACCTTTAGAACGCCATAAAAGGCTCCCAACGATAAGAACTTAATATATAAAAACGATTTTATGATACTAATTTAGCATTATACCACTTAAGCTACCACTTTGGGGCAAAGCGGATTTGGCAAAAAAAAAAAGCAAAACTAATCGGTGAAGTTTTAACAAAATAGGTTTTAAAGACACAAGTGTATCAAAACTTTTGTTTCCCTTAATTAAAAATAATTTTCTTGAATTTTATAATTAATTTATAGAGGAAGAAAAGCGCACTTAAAGTTCAAGATGATAAGTGTGCCAACACTAAAGTTCGGCACTGTATGTACATATGTATGTATGTTCAATGAACACTGTACATTCGTATGCGGTGATATTGATAAGCAAAATGAGTTATTCGATTATATAGTCTTATAAGACTGTTATAACAATACCCTGCAGTTCTAAAATTCATCACTGGCACAAAATCATCACGCAGTCGACCGCGACGTCTTAGAGCTGAACGCAACGGCGGCAGTCGAAAGCAACGGCGGCAAGGCTGAACGCACCGCAGGCAACACGCTTTTTTAGTGATTAAAAGGTGATGAAGTGTAGGACATGCTTATGTTACCATACCAGCATACCATGTACCATGCTGAATTGTTCTGCAGGGTAGATAAATATCAAAATAAGAACGGACTATAACCAAACACAAATGTCTCAATATATTATTTTCTAACAGCGAAAGTAGTCATCTTAAAAAAAACAGTTTCGGGGGTGCCACAGAATTCGCAGGGAGCCCATTATATGCAAGTTTTTTATGTACATCAACACGACTTAACGCTGAAATGGGTTCTGTGGCACCCCTGTATACAGACAATTCAATGTTATTGTTATAATTACAATTAGGGAAATATACAAACCTGTTGCAACTGCAATTTGTAGTTTTGTAAATCGTCCGCCATTTAACTAATTATAATTTTAATTAAAAACAAGCGCTAGACGCAACAAACCTTATGAACAGCGTGACCGCACTTATACAGATAAAAATTCCATTTAATGTAAAAATAAATACCATTGAACTCCATTTTAGTTTTAAAAAATACCATTTTTGTACGATTCATTTATTCATTTAAATATTAATTTAAACAATTTTTTCATTTGACAATTAAACAATTTTATCTAATAAAATAATTTTTAAATTTGTCTACAATTAATTATATTGCTTCCTTTTATTAAGAATAAGACATTTTTATCGTGTATCGAGACCACATCTAATCTCTTTATTAAATAAACAAATCAATATTCCTTGTCTTTGTTTTTCTTTGTCATTTGTATACGCACTGATACTTAGCAGGTAAAGACTAGTACTCACATCCACAAAAACCGCTAGCTAACAATAGGAGTGAGCTAAAGTCATGTTACATGTTTTGAAAATTCAAGAGGAATACTTTTGAAAATATACCAGATTAAACGGGTGAATTCCGATGAACGCCGTTAGCCGCGGCCCAAAGAATAAGAAACTTTATTCTTTGGCGGTGCTCGTGCTAAAGCGGTGTGGAAACTAAAGATGAAAAATGGAAGGAAATTAATTTTCTTATTCTTTGGACCGCGTCTAACGGTGATCACCCTTGTACTCACGTCAACGAAAACCGCAAGCTAACCATAGGAGTGAGCGAGAGGCAAATTCGCGGCTAACGCTTTTCGTCGGGTCTGTTTTTCAGCGCAGTACCCAGATGAGTTAACGAAATACCAGGAAAAATACCACATTTAGCGAGTGAATTTCGATGATCGCCGTAAGCCGCGGCCCAAAGAATAAGAAATTTAATATTTGGCGGTGTTCGTGCAAAGGGGTGTGGAATTTAAAAATTAAAGTCAACGAATTTCCACGAGGAGGGTAGGGTGGTGTTGAGGTAAATGTCCACGGGTGTTAGTTAAAAATCCAAGATTGTCCACGATGGTAGGAGGGGAGGTCAAAAAAAGCTTAAAATTTGTCCACGTGGTATATGGACGGCCCCTAACGCATTTCGTCGGGTCTGTTTTTTCATCGCGGTACTCAGATGAGCTAAGGAAATACCAGAAAAAATACCAGATTTAGCGAGTGAATTTCAATGAACGCCGTTAGCCGCGACCTAAAGAATAAGAAATGTAATTTTGGCGATGTTCGTGCAAAGGCGGTGTAGAAACTAAAAATTAGTCGACAACCTCGACTATCAGATACCCGCTAATGGAGATATGCTACCAGCAAACCGAAATTTATTTGCGCCACCTACCCGTGATCTCAATATATGGTTATGTGGGCGGTAGACAGATTTAGTGTTATGGGCGTTAGAGTAGGCGTGGCAATCATTTTTTTGGGTCAATCGAAAGGTATTGACGAGACTAATACACATCAGTTAAAATGTTGTATCTAGCATGAAAATTGTGGGCGCCGCAGGATTGGGCGTTTTGTGGGGTAACAAACTTGCGCTGCGTACACTGCTACGGAATCTAAATCTGAAATCCCAATTCTCTATCTTTGATAGTTTCCGAGATATCTGCGTGCATAGTTACGATTTTTTGGAGTTTGTGGGCGGATTGTGGGCGTTAGAGTGGGCGTGGGACCATGCTGAAACAAACTTGCGCTGCGCAAGAAGCTCAGGAATTTGCATGTCAAATCCCAATAGCCTAGCTCTTATAGTTTCCGAGATCACAGCGTTTATACGGACAGACGGACCTGGCTAGATAGACTCGGCTAGTGTTCCTGATCATATACTTCATGTGGTCGGAAACGCTTTCTTCTGCCTTTTATATACTTTCCAACGAATCTAGTATACCCATTTACTCTACGAGTAACGGGTATAAAAATGGTGCAATGGTGCAGATGAAAAAGGACGCCTAATCCAAGCTGTTGGCCATTATTGTGGAACTTCACCGGCAGGAAACAATACCACAACAGGAAAAATCCGCAGAATAGTTGGAGTTCTGGAGGAGACCCACAAGAGGATCCGAGTGGGATTTCGTTCTCTACATGGACATCCTGCCGGGCGCGTCCTCGTAAGGTTCTGGTCAAGGGAATTTGGTTACGTTGTACTAATAAAAGTATCTTTTTCGCACAACCCCCAGAACGATCTTCGACGAGCTCTCCATTGGAAAACCACGGACGCGCTGGCTTCTATAAGGATGAAGAAAAGGGGGCAAAAATGGGCGCCCTTTAAGAGGCACCTGGAGGAGCCATTAGCAGCCATTGCCGGAATGCTGGTCGACATCCTGCAGCATCAAGCGGAACAACCCCGTTTCCAATACGGCTCCTACTTCCTCAAGGTCCAATATGCCTATTGAGATTCGGAGTTGGATAGATAGGGCGGTAAAGATGGCGAAGCATCCGTGGGACGAGAAGGAAGTTTTATACTACTAGTTTACATGAATAAAAACATTCGATTAACATTTCATTTATTCTTATTTTAATTTCTTTGTGCACGGGCAGACTCTTCTTGTTTTTAATTGCTCCAATTGGACTGTTTTACGTTTGGCAACAAACCCAGCTGCTTGACAGTAAGACCATGGCTACATGCTTTGCCGGTGAACTTTGAATACTTCGGTCACACTATAAAGAATACGGTTTTTCGACTAGTGAAACTCTTAGCCGATCTGAGTTCTAGGCTTTGTTCTTTGGGCCGCGGCTAACGGCGTTCATCGAATATATTTCAGTAGCTGATCTAAATACCGCGCTGAAAAACAGACCGGACGAAAAGCGTTAACCGCCTATTCGCCACTTGCTCACTCCTATGGGTTTCGTCGCGGTTTTCGTCGATTGGAGGTACTAGGCTTAGGCTAATTGTTGAAAATTAAACACAAAATTTCGGCAATTGAGTGAACGATCCTAAATTGTTCCTGTTGAGTTTTCAAAACATGTAATAGTAGAGTGAAAGGTACTAGATTCATTGGAAAGTATATAACAGGCATACGGCCAAAGAGCTAGTGGGATGGATCCTCCAGGGTAGCTACGAATAAGCGTGGATGTTGGTACGGCCTGGCAACCCGTTAGCCCCAACATCAAGCGTAAATAAGTAGCTCCGGACAATCGCGCTTGTGCTGCCGCCTCCGCCAAATAGCTCACACACAGCCCCCTCCCCACACGCTAAACCTACCACTTTTCTACCTCGGGCTGGACTAAAATGTCACTCGTACCGTGCCGAGAGTCAATCCGGCTGCGAGCCCGAGTCAGCAAATGACTAAGTCTCAAACGGTGGGCGCAGGCAAGTGGCGACCGGCTGTTCAAAGTCAGCCGTACCCGGGTAGTACGTATCTCTGCCCGGGTGGACCTGTCCTTTCTCCCCAGCTCGTCGGAATCATTATGGAAGATTCAAATAAAGTAAATAATGCAACCCCAGAGTACGACACTTTCAAAAAGTCCGAAGTCGCAACCAGCGACGACCAGAAGAGCGTGGGTATCGTACTGAAAGCCCACATTTACTGCTCTTAGTTCATCAACGTTCAACAATATATTTAAGCAACCTCTACACCAGCCAAGGCCGGCGGACAACGCAGCCGACTAGCTCCGAAACCCCGCAAGGACCAGCCAGTCCAACGTCACGGGCGTGCCAAGGCTGATCTTATTTTAAGCACCAGGGCCAATGAGTTTAAGGGGACACAACCCAACCAAGCAGGACCTCTGGAACGAAAGAAGGCGTACCGCATTCTCAAACGTCAGGCCACCAACCCCATACGGGAGGACCAGGCGTCGGCGGAGGATTACTAGAAAATCCAAGAAGATATAGCCTGGGCAAAGGTGGTGATCCCAGACTTCGACATCGCTAAGACACCAAGCGACATCAACAAGCGGGAGAGGTCGATGGAAGTAGCTCAACCAGCGAGCAAGAAAAACAAAACAACCGCGGCATATGGTATAGATCCTTTGCGGAAGTTGTAAAGGATCAGAAGATCATTAGCGTCATCGACAAGAACGATGAAGGTGGCAGGATCCCAAGAAACCAATGGGCTCGGGTTTTGGACGAAAACGCAGGACCGCCCCCCTGACTGCACAGAAGCGGAGTGGTACCAGGGCAACGCGAAGCTGATCGCCTGTAAGGACGAGAGATCGGCAGCACGCTACAAGGCTATCATCACCAAGGTTGGCGAGGTCTACCCCGGGGCCGGGTATCCCGACCAAGGGACCAAGGGAATAGCCCGAGGCTATTCTTAGCCTCTTGACAAGGTTTAACCCGGTTAAGGTAGAGAGCACCGGGAAGTACAAACACAAAAGAAAGGGTTGAGTTACTCTATGACTATCTCCTTCAATTGAATCTTCTTAATTGCAATAAAGGTAATGACCATACTTTCATAACTAGAAATAGGAGGAAAGTCTTAGACATTAGGGGTCGAACACTCATTCTCAGACACAGAATTTACCATAACTGTAGAATGCCCTCCCGCCGAAAACATTACAAATCTAAGACTAAATAACTGGGGTAACTTCAAAAAACTCCTCAACAGTCAATAATTAGATAGCTTTGTAAATACTTTCACTGAGATCTGCAGTGAAACCATAAAAAAGGCTTGCCCAAGCAGAGCAGTCAAAACAAAGGACAAACTGCCTTGGTGGAACAGTACAAGTAAGTACAACAACAGCGAAGCTTCCTGGAACATATACCATACAAAGCTAAGATTATATAAAAAGGAAATTAGTCTATCGAAACGTAGAGAATGGGCTAACTTCTCCAGTAGCATAGGATCTACCGCGGAGGCATCCAGACTCAGAAGGATCTTAGCGATCTTACTTGGACGTTTATGTACTATGGTTAGTACAAACAAGTGGCCCTTACGACACCAAGCAATGCGCGGAGCCCTAAACCGATTTGGGCGAGTAATCGAAGTCGCGGACATGGAAAAAGACGAAATAACAATAGACAGTTTAAAATACATGCTCACATAGAATGGTTAGCAAGATAGAAATTTTCAAAATACTGAAAGATAGAAAATACTTAAGTTTACCGTAATTAGTTGCATTGGGGCTATCAAACAGTACGACGTGAAACAGTCCATTATAATCGTCACAAAGAACACGAAAAGG